ATATATATATATATATTTCAAAGGCCTTGAATTCATTCAATTTAGTGCAAAACAAAATTTAGCCCTTTATCTAGAGGTATATGTGCATGTATGTATTAATTGAGAGACACAAAGAAAAGAGAAGTGATATAAAAAAAACTAGTTGAAAGCTGGCCTTCCTTAGACCTTTTTATTTCTACAGCTTGTTTAAGGATGCCCTTTTCTTTTTGCATTTTCATTTGGTGAAATTTCATGGTCTGTGACCTTTTTTTATCATACTAAACTGTGCACATTCCTTAAATTTCATTCATGAATTAATAGTAAAACAGCAATTGCTTTCAGGTGAAGCAAATGTTGATTGCAATTATGATGGAATCTGACGTGAAGCTAACTGATGAACTTGTTGAGGCTATTATCGACAAGGTGAGAGTTTCTCCAATTTAAAGTGTTTTCCCTTCGAATTATTGCATCCCAGATTGGATGTTGATGGCACCAGAAAATGACTTTTAGGAAGTAAGACAAATCATTTTTAGGCATCCTTATAGTCATTCAATTGGTCATGAGTTAGTGCTGATGGAGACATGGAGTAGCATCTATGCTTAGTTCAAGTTAGACTTCCTCAACGGAGTGCTTAATTGAGGCATGTTGCTTTAAACCACCCACCATATATTCTTGGTGATGGACAGAACAACATACACAAGAAGTTGTAACTTATATATTCTTGGTGAATTGAATATGGAGTCAGATGCATCTAGTGGGCAACAAGCTTCAAAAGAAAATGAATAGGTATGCATTTCTCTGCTTTTAATGAATTTTTCAACTTATTATGAATTAGATTAGAAATGATGTTGTAGAATGAAATTTCAAGTTGTCTGTTGATCAGGAAATAATGTGTTAGCACTTAGCATTGGTAAATTGCTCAGACAATTCTAATATCTCCCATTTGATGTTGTTGAATTGAATGGCCTAGATATGGCATATGAACAGATTTGTAGATTTCAGATCTGGATGTTCATGAGTGAGCGAAAGAATAAAGAAACAATCAAACTAAAGTACCTAGGTTAAGCCTTTTGGGCTGGTAGAAGACTGATGTTACATTAAATGGGTTACACAACTTGTACATATATTATCCTTTTGTCTTTCATGAGTGAAGTACGGCTTAATTTATTCATACTGCTATTTTGAAAGTATGGATAAGTTAATATACTTATTGTTTCTTTTGATTTCCTAGGTTTTTGATGTATTTGATGAAAGGAAAAATGGTGTCATTGAATTTGATGAATTTGTCCATGCACTCAACGTCTTCCATCCCTATGCTCCCACAGAAGACAAAATAGACTATAGGGATCAGATGCAATCATTTTATTCTTATTATCAAAACATATCTCATGAACTTAACCTCTTGGTGTTACCTTCGTGATGCCCTGCAGTTGCATTTAGGCTTTACGATTTGAGGCAAACTGGGTTTATTGAGCGAGAAGAAGTAAGTATTTTACACTGTAAACTTAGCAATTGTTGCCACAACTAATGTTAAAACAAATACATGCTCTGAGAAACATAGACAGTTGATACACTAATTGTGTTTGGAGGTTTTCGAACCTTTTTGAACTCATTATTAAGGTGGCTTGCAAGTTGCAAGCTTTTGAATCAAATTGGTGCTACATCAGGTTCTGCATTTTGTAGATCGATCTCTCTCTCTCTCTCTCACACACACACACACACACGCATTGTAAAAGATGTCACATTACTCTTCCCTTTTGTGCTTATATTTATGGGCATGCATATGAGCATAAATGTTTGACTCTCATACATAAAACATTCATAATCACCAACAGCTGCCTCAATTTATCAGGATCTTGGGGACCTTAAGAACAGGAATGATTTGATGGCCAATTCTTTGCTCCATAATTTTTAATATATTGGGACATAAGGCTTAGTTTGGTTTGATTTATGCTTTAAATTTACTGCTATTGACAAATGTGTGAATGACTAGATGAATATAATCTTTTTTATTGAAATAAGTTTGCATTTGTTATCATGCTTTTGCTAAGGCAGTCAACTGGTCATGTTGTTTGTCTGCTGCTTTCCTGTCATTAGTGGGTTGAGAACAGAAGATCAAACCTTCAAAGTTTAGTCAGTCATGTTTCTATGATTTGGGCAATATTTGAAAGGCTTGGAACTTTTCAAATATATATATATATATTTCAAAGGCCTTGAATTCATTCAATTTAGTGCAAAGCGGAATTTAGCCCTTTATCTGGAGGTATATGTGCATGTATGTATTCATTGAGAGCCAGAAAGAAAAGAGAAGTGATATAAAAAAAACTAGTTGAAAGCTGGCCTTCCTTAGACCTTTTTATTTCTACAGCTTGTTTAAGGATGCCCTTTTCTTTTTGCATTTTCATTTGGTGAAATTTCATGGTCTGTGACCTTTTTTTATCATACTAAACTGTGCACATTCCTTAAATTTCATTCATGAATTAATAGTAAAACAGCAATTGCTTTCAGGTGAAGCAAATGTTGATTGCAATTATGATGGAATCTGACGTGAAGCTAACTGATGAACTTGTTGAGGCTATTATCGACAAGGTGAGAGTTTCTCTAATTTAAAGTGTTTTCCCTTCGAATTATTGCATCCCAGATTGGATGTTGATGGCACCAGAAAATGACTTTTAGGAAGTAAGACAAATCATTTTTAGGCATCCTTATAGTCATTCAATTAGTCATGAGTTAGTGCTGATGGAGACATGGGGTATCTATGCTTAGTTCAAGTTAGACTTCCTCAACGGAGTGCTTAATTGAGGCATGTTGCTTTAAAATAGAACATCTATGAAGCAGCAACTACATTGTTTTTAGAAAAGGGAACAGATTGCTTGGAGTTCTATAAGAGTTATAACCTCATCTTTCAGATCATTCCCAAGGGAAAGACCAAAGTGGTGAAAATTACAATAGAGTATGAGAAATGAAATAAGGATGTCCCTGATCTACAGAAATATCTGAACTACTTGATTAATCTCTTTAAAGATGTTGATTCTAAGCTTGTCCCTGATCATTGTTTTTAGTATGACACTATGTAATAAGAGCTGGAGAGCTCTAGTGTTGATGCTTCCTAGTTTCATGCTTATGACATTACGAAAAATTAAGGTTTTAGAAACTAAAATTTAGGGACAAAGTGTGGTTTGTCTGGATCTAACATTTAGAGATTAAAGAAAATAACACCACTGCTTTCACATTCTCAAACATGGCTAAGTGTGGTTTGTCTTGTACTTGATTTGGTTTTGACTTAGTTTTAATCTTGTAGGGATAGTGCCATGTGCCTGTAGAATTATATTAAAACCGAGGCAGGTTTTGCACTGCATATCTCGTTGTTAAATTTGCAATAAGAAATATATAGCCTCATGATGTTTGAAATGTGGATTGTGACATGTTACCTTTTTTCAATATAATTGCACTATACCCATAAGAGTGATTAAAATTGATAATTTTTATTTTGGCAGTATATAATTTTTATCATTAATGCCTGAAATTTTTGTTGCATAGGTGCAATGTGGTGATGTGGAACTTGAAAAGAAAATTGATGAAAAGATTGGCCAGTTCATCGATAAAGTGGAGAAACACTCGAGCAAGAAAATTGATGAGAAGATTGGCCAGTTCTGGATTGTATTTTTTTCATAAAAGAACTTTTCTCAAGTTTTTAATTGTAATAACTTTCACAGATAGCTGAAATTTTGAGACTCAAATAGAATGTTTAATTAAACTACAATGCTATACTGTCTGAATTCTTGTCATTGCTATTCCTAGAGTGCTTAACGCTACATCCTTTTTCTTTTTTTTTTTCCTTCTGCGACGATAACAAGATGGTCGCCAAAAATCATGTTAGTGTTTTTCTTTATTTTTTTAGACGGTAAAATAGCGGTTGCCATAAGTAGTTTAGGTGGTTGCAAATAATTTGCGACCGTTGCTTTGCTGTCGCAAAAAGTATTTATCACCTCCACATTCGCGACTCTCATTTGCCGTTGCATGGGCCGTCGCAAAAAAGTCTTTTGCGACTGTTTTTTTACTATTTTTCACAGTTTATAGCGGTCGCAAAAAGTGTTTTTTTAAAGTAGTGTGTGATGGGCTCTCAAATATTCTTTTCTCATCCAATTCAATTAAGGGCATGCAAAATCTTGAACTACTTGATGTACAGTGGTGTCCATCTATTGGAGTAGCATTTGACCTTGAAGGACTGCTTTGGAAAGGCATATCAGATATGGCATTACCTTCATTAAAAAAGGTGAAACTAAGCTGTCTACCAAAGTTGACACATGATTGGAAGGACAATTCACCAGGAATTCAAGGTTTTCAGAACCTAAGACCCTTAATAGTAAATGGTTGTGACAGTTTGATAAATCTATTGTCATACTCTCTAGCCAAACTTCTTGTGAAACTACAAGACATAGAGGTAACTGAATGTGGCGGGATGGAAGCTATTATTGCAAATGAACCCAATGCAAATGATGAAGTGATAATAAAGATAATCATGTTCCCTCAAGTGAAAAAACTCAAATTCAGAAATCTGCCAAACCTTGAGAGCTTCTGCTCTCGGATTAATAAGTTTGAGGAATCATTATTGAAGACCGTGGAAGTAAGCAACTGTCCCAAACTGAAGACACTCCCTCCAGCATTTTAGTGCAAGCTAGGGTAACAAAGGAACAACGTTTTATTGCATGACGAAGTTTAAAAGGTTGACTTTTCAACCATCTAAGATGGAAAGGTATGTCAATTTAACTTAAAATTATATAGTACTCACCATTAACTAACAATTTGTTTCAAAGAAAATGTTTCCGAGATCCGTTAAACTAAGGATACAATCATTCATTTGAAGAGGAAAAGAATTGTAAACAAAATCATTGAGGGTTGTATGTGAAACATTGTTTTGGATAGAGATTTGGAAATGGAAAGAGAAAAAATGGGTAAAATGTGAATGAAATATAGTTTCATTTTACAAATTTTTCCTTCAATTTCCAAATCCTTATCCAAACACAGCCCGAGAGGAAACTCTAACCCCGTTTGTTTTGATGTAAAATATTTTATACTGAATTTTTTTTTTCCCATTTAATTTGATTTTGCACAAAAAAAATTCTTTTTCTTTTTCGGTGTTTGGTTGACACTATTGAAAATAATAAACTTTGATCATGTTTGATTCACAAGATTAATAGTGAAGTATTAATAATCCTATTAAATTAGTGTGGTATTCACTATCTAATTGGATTAATATCCATTGGATTAATAATCCCAGCCCTACCCCATTACTAATAATCCTACAAATTTGCTGGATTAATTATCCATTGGATTAATAATCCTAAACCAAAATGTTAAAACAAACATAGGATAATTGGGCCCACGGATTAATAATCCCAATCTCATGCTCTAATCCACCCAATCAAACATGTCCTTTATTTTTATTATTAGGAGTTATATTTTCCTACAGTTATGCTAATTATGGAGGAATAATGGTATGCGGTTGATCATGGTGTGCTAAGAGTCATTAGTATGTTAATCTTTTAGCGGTTAAAAAGAATAATAGAGTTAGTGGGTCTTAATGTGAGTGTGTGAGTTGCATGTTAGGCTATATATGTAATGAGGAATAAGAATGAGTCGCAGAGTGCAATGATAATAATATGAGTGAAATATAAGAGTTGAATTTATTTTTCTTCAATTCTCTTCTAAGTTTGTGTGAGTGATTGTTGTGCGGCCAAATTTATTTCTAACAGACACTTGAAAAAAAAAACTTTATACTGTATGTGCGTTGGGTAATCCAAACACAGCCTCAGAATGAACTCTAACTCTATTTGTTTTGACATAAAATATTTTACACTCAAAATTTCTTTCATGTAATATGTTTTTGCACCAAAAAAAAAAATAAAATAAAAATTTCTATTGTATGCGTTGGGTAGAAGTCATAGAAGTGAACTTTCTAAATAAAAAATTGACTTCAGACTTTTCAATGGTAATTCATTTTGAGGACTATGATGAAAAATATTTTTCTTAAAATTTTTTTACTAACTTTTTGTGAACCAAACAATGAAAAATGTGTAAAATATTTTTGAGGAAAACATTTTACTTCAAAACAGATGGAGCTTTTATCACTAATGCAGTCAGGAATTTTCTCTTTAAAAGCAATGTCAATTGAGTCCCAAAAAAATGTGTAAAAACTCACTAGGCTGAGTTCAGTTCAATTAGATCAAATGCTAGTTGAGTTTTTCATACCGAAATTTCATCTTAGCTAAAAACTCACTATTATTTCTGAAGAAATGGCAATCTATTGTTGCATGTCTAATTTTGAAAGTGCCATAAGTATTATTTTAATAGAAACTTTGTATGAATATTTTGTTTGTTAATGCAATTTTGCATCCAAACTGACTTAAATAAAAACGTTGTATAAGGAATGGGGTTCTCGATGGTTGGCCTTTTGGATTAAACAGTATGGTTAGATTTGTGAGGGTCTACCACAAGTCCACTATGATGATATATTAGAATAAACAAGAGTTTTAGAGATATGTTCAATTTTGTTGTTAAAAATATGACAATGACATTCATGGCAATATAAATATTTCTGCTCTAAAAACTTGTTTCATATTTCTGCTCTAAAAACTTGTTTCGTTTCTAAATTTTTTTCTCTGAAACCTTAATTTGTTGTAGTGATTTGAATCTTTCATTTTATAATCACTATGTAGATCATCCATTAAAATTCAAATTTATTTGATAATCTTGATAATATGATCATTTTTGCTTTCAAAAGAAATGAAATTTACTTTTTTTGAAGATAATTAAAAATGATAAAATCATGTTGTTATAATTATCATACCTAGGTATCATATCAATCTAATTATTTTTAGAGGTAATACTACAATGATCATGTCTTTATACCATATAGGGTTTTACCATCTCATTTATCATAAATACAATGGTTGAATGAATCCTCTCACTTATGTCTGTTATCAATATAGTGATGACACATCCTATGGTAAACCAAATGAGAGATAAAGACGTGATTATTGTGACATAATACTAAAAATAATTGGAGAACTCTTAACGAACCAATTACGCGCTATGGAATCCAAATGGAATAACTGCCAACAAGCCCATTCCTTGTATAAATATTTTGCACAATCACTTTTTATTAGGAAAAATTACATTGGCATCCCTTGAGATTTAGAAACAACACAATAAATTTTACAAATTTAGCATAATTACATTAGACTCCTTTTAATATTTTGATTCACAAAATACTTAGCTCCTTTTTCATTGATAATTTGTCAATCATATGAATTGAAAAATGGGATTGTGATTTTTTTTTTATACTGAAATATGTATTTATAGTGTTTATTTTTGTGTTTTCACACCATCTACATTCGTTCTAGTCTTTTTAGCCTTACTAAAATAGAGGTTGGTGAAATTATGTAAAAATTGTGGGACTTGTATTTTCTCTTCAAATCTTAGAGGAGATCAGTATAAATATATAGATATCTAGCTCTTACATGAAATCACATTTAATTTGTCCACTTGGCAACTCCAGTTTTTAATTTCTTAACAAAAGATGTAATAAGTTGAGACATCTATGTTGGATTATGTTTGACCTCCAATATTAACTTGATAATAGATATTTGTGTCTTGCAAAGCCTAAAAAATGCTGCAATCATTAGACACAAGCACATTGAATGTAATAAGCTTCTAACTAGTCTTTAATGTCTTTCATTTTTGAAATTTGATTGCAGTTGATTTGTTATGCTTTTCTTAATAAAGAAGTTGGAGAAATAGATATTGGTTCTATTTATGAAGAAACCAAGGCTACAAGGCGTTCTTCTATATGAAAAACTGTTTAGTTGTTGGGATTACATTTTATCTATTGTTGGGTTTGTATAAGTAATGTGTCGTCTCATTGGTTGGGTTGATTGTGCTAGCACAGCTTTCTCTGTTGTGGTATAACTGGATTGACTTTATTATAAACCATGTAATAATTTGTGTGAATTTGATGAGTGTGCTTTGTGTGCAATTGTAACAATGACATCATGAGTGATTGTCAATATCCTTAAATAAATTTGTAGATTATTTTCTCTACGTGTGTGCTTGTGTATACAGAATATGAAAGTAAATAGAGGAGACTGAAAGAAGCTCCATCAAATCTTAATAAAGATTGATTGATCTTTGATTAATCTTAACCTGCAATTTATTGTCTATCCCATGTCGCCATCTTTGTTTAGCTGCCCTTGAACTATATATGGTGAAAAAATTTATAGAGTCAGTTATCAAAATCATAGTTGTATTAATTACTAAAAAAAAATCCATAGATATATGCATAATTGGCTGCAAACATTAAACATACAATGCCCTATTATCTACCTGCAGGGATGATGACTATTTCTGGGGAAAAACTCACTTTTTTCCTCTTTGTTTTACCTATATTCAATATTTCCCTCTTTTTTTTCCTTCCCATGTAAAATATTTCAGTATCTAATTATATATGGGGTTGTTTGAAATAGGGTTATGATTTGGTTCTCTCTAGCCATAGCAGAAATTCAATTAAAAATTCTGTTTTTGACTTTGATTAATCTAATTTCCTTCAAACCTTTCTGGAAATCTATAAGAGAGTACTCCTGAATCTGAAATCATGCTTTGGCCATAATGCAACTCTAGTGTTGGCTATGATATAAGAAAGAAAAATCTATAAATATCTCAGAAAAAAGCACTTTGTAAACAAGTTGAGAAAAGCCAGCCATGATATG